ACATATATATATATATATATATATATATATATATATATATATATATATATATATATATATACTCACTATATAGAGAGACCTCTTTCTTGACTTCACACAGAAACAGCAACGCATGCGACATGACGTCACTATGTTAATTGATACGCTATTGGTTAAAAGTGTTAAATTACACTTAAGTCAAAAAGTGTTATTTATAATTAGAATTTCTGTTATTTATTACTTGATTGTTCAAGCTACCTCCCTGAAGTGCTCTATTTGTTAACAGAGTTGTTAAATGTTAAAATAAGGTGAATTACATACTAAAGGAACATCCTGGATCTGTTTCTTTGCTCTCCTTTATTATTTTTTTATGCATTATAAAAGTATCGGATCAGGTTTCGGTAGATACTCAAAATCAAAGGACTCTGACTCTAGGGTGAAAAAAACTGATCGGGACATCACTAGTCTTGACAGCCATTTGTCATTTACGAATCCCCATGACACCCTATGACAAGCAATTCATGCTGAAATCAGGACAAAATTGTGTAATCTGAATGGAGGTTTATCTAAACCAGTGAAGACCAGCGTGGTGACCGATTCTGGGTCATCTTTAATGCAAGGCAAAGTACGAGGCAATTGAATAATCCAAAAAAAAAAAAAAAATGAGGAATGAGTTACGATACTTAGAAAGTTTGGAAAGTGGGATAATTTGGTCAAAACAGCAAAAGAACTGTACAATAATTGACCGCAGCAACACATTTTTGCTGAGTCAGTGCTGCCTACTTCTTTGACCCATACTGGATAAGATCAGGAAGTATACGTTTGGGTATGAGGGTGTGGACTGAATGAAAGGATCATTTTTCAAAGGCTCTTACAAGTTCAAGTGACCCCCATGGTGCAGAAGAAAGCTGACAGTGCTGATTGCAATCAATACTAGGAATATCTTCTTCTGAGACATCTCCAGCTTCTTTCACTGCAAAAGACAAGAAGCAAACATTACAAAGGTGTAGCTTACTCCTGTGTTCGACACACATCCAGGACACAAGCCCTCTCTCACACGCAAGTTCCTGAGCACAAGAATTGGTTTAAATATCATGCTGAATATTTGTGTAGATTTAGAGTGTTTTCTTGCAAACTGGATCTCAAATTGCATCGTGGCACCTATTGCATCCGTTCTGGTTCTTATTATTATAATTTCTTCGGCTTCTTCTGCTTCCACTATGGCAGCCCTATGAACCATTCGTGCAAGCTTTGGCACACTGATAGAGGACAGTATGATCTTCAGCCACAACAAATTGGAAGTCTCTAGCGCCACCGCTTGTCCAAAGTTTCACTTATGTTTATAACTTTTAAACCCAATCAAGATTCTTCATCTCCTCTGATTCCTTGGCTCAAGGCAAATCAGACGCACCCTATGACGTCATTTTCCATCATGAAAATTCTTTCGACATTTTGAATTTTTCGCAAAACCTACCTGAACAAACTCATCCTAGTGCATTTGTCAGATTTTCACCAAAACTGAAGCTGCGTCCCAAATCGCATACTTATGCACTATTATACGCCATTTTGAAGTATAAATAGTGCAAGTAGTGCGTTCACACTGAAAACTCTAAAAATAGTAAGTGCACTTTAATTACTCGGATGATGCACTCATTCAGCCGCTAATATGAAGTGTGTAAAGATGGACACTTCACGCACTCAACGACCGCAGGTTTGCTTACGCTATCGGGTGCACATGTTGGATAACTTTATTTATTTTGGATGATGAAAGCAAAATTCTCCTACGAGAGTGATTATAGCGCCTCCCGATGGTGAATGCGGTTATACTCACGGCAGGTATTCTTTGATAGTTTGGTCATTTATTTCACTGATTTGGCAACCGTCAAACGTCATCAGGGAAACGGTTTGAATTTCCGCTTAGTAAAAAAACATTAGTGTGCCATTTGGGACGACACTTTATACATATACTATCCTGTTGAGTGTGTAAGTGCATAAGTACATATTGCATGAGTGCATAGTGCATAGTGTGCCATTTGGGACGCAGCTTGAATCACATGGTCTACAGCACACCCTGACCAAATGTTATGGAAATTAAGCTGATTAGATGAAGCGTTTTCGATTAACTTGCGAACAAATTTAATGTAGAGCTTGCAAAAATGCACTTGAGGAAATATCTCTGTAACGTATTGACACTCACACTAAACTTTTGTAACTGTTTGTTAGGACAAACATGGTTTGAAATCACTTGCAGCATTTTGGCACATTGCCCCCTAGTGGTCAAGAGATACAAAAAAAGGCTTTTTTGCTTATAACTTTTCAACCCTTAGTCCAGAATTCATAAAATTGGTCTCTTTATCTCCAGCTGAGCATGCAGAGTAAAATGATGTATAGCTGTAGAGGTCTGAGGTCACCCGACCAGATTTCTGCGGCACGGGAATAAATTTCCGAATAAATCTCGGGAGCGGTCGGTAACGGGTTTAATTTGGGACGGGAGCGGGCTGTCTAGCAATATCGCTCCCTACTCCCGAGCGACCACGCGTATGTATGTGTGTAAATGAAATAGCGCGATGCTGTGTTTAGCTTGTTTGTTGCTGTGTGTGTGTGTATGTGTGTGTGTGTTAGTGCGCGCGCGCGAATGAGAGAGAGAGAGAGAGAGAGAGAGAGAGAGAGAGAGAGAGAGAGAGAGAGAGAGAGAGAGAGAGAGAGAGAGAGAGAGAGAGAGAGAGAGAGAGCTTTGTCTGTGTGTGTGTGTGCTTGGTGCTTATGTGTGTGTGTGTTAGTGCGAATAAGAGAGAGAGCTTTGTCTGTGTGTTTGTGTGTGTGTGTGTGTGTTTATACAGACAGCTTGTTATAGGCTGTCTGGACTGTAAAGTTGGGTGATTTTCGGTTTTGTTCTCCCCCGCTCTTTAGCGGGATCGGGCGCGGCGGGTAGAAAACAAGGCGGGTCGGTCAGCGGGACAACAAATGCTTAATATAGGTGGGAGCGGTCGGGTTCGGGCTGAAACCTGGCGGGTGCAGGCAGGAGCGGGATTCAAAATTTAGTCCTGCGCAGATCTCTATATAGCTGCATCCCAAATGGCACACTAGTGAAATTTATGACCAAAGTACCAAATAATAACTGCCATGAGTATAACCACATTCACCATCGGGAGGCGCTAATCATCACTCTTGTAGGAAGATGTTACTTTCACAATCAATAAATAAAGTTATCCAACATGTGCACCCGATAGCTCCGCCCCTTCTGCTACGTGAGCAAAGCTGCGGTCGTTGAGTGCGTGAAGTGTCCATCATTCCACGCTTCATTTTACCGGCTGAATGAGGGCATCATCCAGGTTATTAAAGTGCACTTATTATTTTTTCATATTTTTATAAGTTTTCAGTGTGAACACACTACTTAATCATACTACGAAATGGCGTAAAATAGTGCATAAGTATGCGAATTGGGACGCAGCAACAGATACCAATTATGCCACAATCTGCCAAACTTCCTGTCCTCTATTTGGATGTTTGTTTTCGAACTCCTCCTAGATCGTTGGTCCAATTGTCACCAAATTGGAGTCGGATCATCTTCAGACCATGTAGACTAAAAGTTGTGGCATTCATGTTGATAGACGAAACAGGCTACAGTCTAAATCGCTGCAATGGTTTGAAATAATAAAACCAAACTTATTGTGTGCGATCTAGACCTCAAACTGACCAAACTACATCAGTTTGCACCACTTTCTGGGTAAAACTGACAAACTATTCAATTCTATCAATAAAAATCATACAAAATTTATCAAATGACTTTTGAATAGTTTTGTCTATTGTCATGAGACAAAGTCCTGCGGATTCCTGGTATCATTGATATGTGAACATTGATATAATTTAGCCCCTAATTTACACAATTTTATTTCCACCATCTTTAATTAGTTTGAAAATCTGTTGTTTTAAACCAGGGGTGTCCAAACTACGGCCCGCGGGCCATCTGCAGCCCAGCCCGCAATCAGTTTTGTGGCAGCCCGCGAGGCTTTTTATAAATATTAATAGAACTTGGCCCGCTATACAAAAATGAACGCAATTCAATAAATAACCACCGGGTGTCACTATAACATGCCTTCAATTAGGCAGCAGTTCCCGTTATGTAATAAAACAAATGAACAAACTAAAAGAAACACAATTGATAATAAGCAAGAAAAAGGAAAATCAACAGTGAGAGCAGGAAATTTCAGTCACGTTGGGGCAAAGAATATTTCTTCACAGAGGTCAGCGGAATAAGTGTCTGTTAAATTTGCCAGGAATCAGTAGCAGTAATGAAGGAATCTAATATTAAAAGACATTATGAAACAAAGCATCAGGCCTTCAGCTCTTACACTGGTGCTGAACGAGATCAATAATTAAAACAAATAGCAGCGCCCTATCAGCTCAACAACAGCAGTTTTTCTGTGCTAATAAAGTGCAAGAAAATTCTACGCTGTCTAGTTATTATGAGGTAGCTCAGCTAATCGCACAGCACAGGAAGCCCTAGTATATATATATATCCATCTCTGGGAACTTTAACTTTTTTTTTTATACAGCACAGGAAGCCCTAGTATATATATATATAAATATATATATAAATATATATATATATATATATATATATATATATATATATATATATATATATATATATATATATATATATATATATATATATATAT